TCGCGAAAAGGGAGACTCAGAAGGTGACCTACAGCAGTGGGGGACGACATACGGAAATCGACCATGTGCTCGTAAGAAGATCATCCCTGAGATCGGTGAAAAGACATCAAGGTACTCCCTGGCGAGGAATTGGCTCCGCAGCACAGGCCCCTCCTGGCAGACATTGCCATGGACCTCCCGAAGAAGACAAGGGTTAGAACCGAGCGGAGAATCCGGTGGTGGAAGTTGCACCAAGCGGAGAAAGATGACCTCAAACGAAGGATAATGGAAGTTGGTCTACCAAATCCTAACGGGCCAATACAGCGAACATGGAGCAAGACGGCTGAGACCATCCTGCGATGTGCCAAGGAGGTACTGGGCGAGACCCGAGGTGGAATCAGAGGAGACAAGGCAGCGTGGTTCTGGAACGAGGAGGTCCAGCGAGTCGTGAAGCAGAAGAAGGAAGCATACAAGCGCTGGCAGAAGACCCGGAGCCCCGAAGACCTCGCTACCTACAAGAGTTGCAAGAGGCTCGCTAAGGCCGCCGTCGCCAAGGCGAAGAACACGGAGAATGGACGCCTTGTACGAGAAGTTGGAAAGCAGAAACGCAGAGAAGTTCGTCTTCAGACTGGCCAAGGCCCGGCATCGGGCTACCCAAGACATCAGGGTGGTGAAAAGTGTGAAAGGCAGAGATGGTGTCATCCTAAGGAAGCCAGCCGAAGTCAAGAGGAGGTGGGAAGAGTACTACAGTGCACTTCTGAACGAGGAGTTCCCCCACGAGAACAACTCACGGGCAGAGGCCACAGCTGGTCCCATCGCACTCTGGACTGAGGATGAGGTTAGGTGTGCACTTGGGAGGATGAAGATTGGGAAGGCGGTTGGTCCAGATGGGGTGCCAATCGAGGCATGGAAGGCGCTGGGTGAGTACGGGATAAGATGGCTCACACGATTCCTCAACAACATAACTGCGGAAGGAAGGATGCCAGATGCCTGGAGAACAAGCACTATCGTCCCCATCTTCAAGCAGAAGGGTGACGCGATGGACTGCTCCAACTACCGCGGGATCAAGTTGACTGCTCATACAATGAAGCTGTACGAGCGACTGGTCGACTCGAGACTGCGGGAGCTGGTCCCCATCTCCCAGGAACAGTTCGGGTTCATGCCCGAAAGGTCCACAACGGATGCCATCTTCATCGCAAGGCAAGTGATGGAGAAGTATCGAGAAAAGCGCCGACCCTGCTACCTAGCCTTCCTCGACCTGGAGAAGGCGTTCGACCGGCTACCACGAGCGGTACTATGGAGAGCGCTTAGGGAACGGAACGTGCCAGAACACCTGGTCTCGCTGGTGAAGGATATGTACGATGGGGCGAAGGCAGCTATACGCACCCCACACGGCCTAACGAAGGAAGTGGACATCACGGTTGGGGTGCACCAAGGGTCAGCTCTGAGCCCGTTCCTCTTCCTCCTACACTAGATGTCCTGGTGAAAGGGCTCATGGAAGGACCACTAAAGACCATCCTCTACGCTGACGACATCGCCCTGATAGCGGATAGTAGAGAGGAACTACAGGCCAAGGTGCAGCAATGGCAGAAGGTCCTGGCAGAAGGCGGACTACGGCTAAATGTCAAGAAGACCAAGTTCCTGAGTTCTGAAGAGGGTGCAGAGCCGATCATGGACGGCATGGTGAAAGCATCGAAAGAGTAGAGGACTTCCGATACCTTGGAAGTGATCTGGCGGCCGACGGCAGTGTGGACCAGGCAGTAATGGGGAGGATCAACGCGGCATGGATGAAATGGAGGGAGTCCACTGGAATCCTCTGCGACCGAAGGTGCTCCAGAGCGCTCAAAGGGAAGGTGTACCGAACAGTGGTAAGGCCTGCGATGCTCTACGGCAGCGAGTGCTGGCCCCTGAACAAGAATCACGAAAGGCAGCTTCACTCCGCTGAGATGAGGATGCTGAGATGGGCCTGCGGCTGGACGCGACTGGACAGGGTCAGGAACGAGGATGTCAGAGCGGTCATGCAGACTGCCCCTGTCCAGCTGAAGGTGAGGGAGCAGCGACTGCGGTGGTATGGGCATGTGCTGAGAAGACCGCAAGGCCACCCGATAAGGAATGCGATGGACTTCGAAGTGCAAGGCAAGCGACCGCGAGGAGCCCCAAAGAAGAGGTGGAAGGATGTGATCAAGAAGGACCTAAGTGAAATCACGGCCACTGCAGGAGATGCCCTAGACAGAGCGAAGTGGCGACGACTGACAAAGACAGCGGACCCTGCGACTGCGCGGGACTAACGCTAGGGAGAAGAAGAAGAAGAAGAAACTTCGTATAATGTTCTGCAAACCAGCATCGTCCAGCGTCAACTGAACCTTCAAATTCCCAGATAGCTAATTAGTTCAAGACTTGTCTGAAGTAACACTGACTTGTCACATTCGCTGCCCTCCGTGTCATCGTATAACCCAAATCAAGTTCCCAAATATGCTACTACCGTTCTAAATGAACTAGTATGCGTCGGCGCATTTCAAAAGATTAGGCAACCTGGTAAGCTTAGGGAAGGTTTTTTATCTGCCTTATACGACTTTATCGACCAAGATCACCTCTAGTCGCAGATTTTCTGAAGGGTCACCAATCATCACAAGCGGACGCAAGCCAAACGAGGAAAAGGCCGTTGAGCAGCTGCCAGTATACCAGTGTTCGCGGCATAATTACAACAAAGAAGACAAGCAGCCAGTGCAGGCTAACTGCAATCCGTAACTATAGCACAAGGGTTGGTCGACTATAGGTGGGCTCGTTTTTTTAAGAAAGCTCATTCATCTTCGATCAGCTTTTGAGCTCTCTTCTGCACAGGAGGGTCAAGAGACATCTGAAAATGTCAAGTCGGCATCGCAACGAGGCGGCCACGCCCTCGCCCCCTCCGTGGCCAAATCGCAAGGGGAGCAGCGAAACAACCATATTCTCATCTGTCACCATTATTATTCATAGACCCGTTATTAACCTTCTGAATCAATAATGGGACCAAAATGGCATAGCAATACACCGTAGGAACAACTAGATAGATGGGCATCATTAAACTCCCAGATTACACTGAACAAAAAGATGTGGGAGCTATCTGAGTTTGAGGGACCACGCGACGGCGCGGCGCTCTGTTCGTCTGCTCCTCAAGGCTTAGTCCCCGATGGCGCGTATTTCGAAACTGCCACGTGATGGCGAAATAGTAACTGCCCCTGGACTAAGCCTTGAAGGAAGCAGACGAACAGAACGCCGCGCTACTGCGTGGTCCTCCCAACTAAGATATGCACTAAAAGTATCCTCAATTCCTTAAATTTCGCGAAAGCAGCTACGCATGAGGAGAACCACAGAAAGTCTGCGCAAAAACATCAAAAATCAAAAACAGGAGCTTTCATCCTCCATTTCGTTCCATTTCATTCGAGCTTACAGAGATTCCTCACGCCATAAATGAGATTAAGAAACTTAGAATCTAGTAAGCTCTTCCAGTGATCAGCCCTACCGAGAGTAAAAGAGAAAATCCAGCAAAAAGAAATAGAACAGGAAAAGAAACCATTTATATAGCGCAAATTCTCTACAATAATTCCTTGGAAATGGTTAAACTCGCTTCGCTTCAAAGTTTCTTCCCTCTTCTCTTCCGAATCAATCCCAAAGAAATGAAAAAGAATTGGGAAGAAAAGGAATTAAAGACGAAAGGCATAATAAAGCAGCCGACGATGAATAGTCAGTAGCGTTCTGTTGACTGCTTAACAAAATGTCAGGTCTGAGAATGCGGTAATTGGTACAGGGACCACTCGTTCTGTATCGCGGCGCGGCGACATTTTCAGCCTTGGTACATAGCCTCTCAAATACAATCTCCTACACGCAATCTCCTTTCAATACACTCTCCTACATCGTAATCTCTCACTTTTGGTTTGCTGTGCAAAAAATCGCCTCTCCGTGACCAATTTTCACGTGACATTTGCTTGGTTATATTTTCTGAAGTTCCAGTAAATTAGTTCCAGTAGATTATCATTATTCCCTCACCGACTGAGTTGGCCAATAAAACGCACAAATTCATTCACACAGATTTGCTGAACTGTTATGTAATGCAGGTTATTCTTAACTGGCGAGAGAAACACAAAGGGGGGGATTGGCCTAAGGTTCGATTGTGTAAGCAAACCAGCCCTTTTGGCGTTTCTGCTGGGGCCGTATGCTGAATGTTGGGGAGGGGATGGGTCCCCGAGCTCGGACGGACTACTTGAACTCGGTCGGTACGGTAGGAGAGTAATGACGAAACGTGGTGCAGCTAGGTCCAGCAGCTCCTCCAAAGGGGCTGGTTTGCTTACCCCAGGACTAAGCCTTGGAGAGAGGACGGACCTGCGCTCTCTCGCAGGTCCGTCCTTCTTTAGGCTTAGTCCTGAGGTAAGCATCAAATTGAGGCGGTTTTAAGGACCGAGTTGAAGTAGTCCGTCGACCGTCGGGGACCCCATCCCCTCCCCAACATTCAGCATACGGCCCCAGCAGAAACGCCAAAAGGGCTGGTTTGCTTACTTCGCGTGGGGTTTGCCCGCTGGGCTGAAAATAGAGGCGACAAAGAGTGCACTGCAGAAATCCCGAGAGAAGCGATTCAAGATTCAAGGAAGGAGGACCCTTTTTTCGTTTTTTCTTTTGGAGTTTGAACGAGCCAGTGACCAAGACAATCTCGTTTGCACGTAATAATCACGATAGCCGGTATCATGTCAAAAAGCACCATCCTTCAATAATTGCCGCAGATAGCCTAAAGAAAACTAGAAGATACGGCCCCTTAACGTTAAATTTTCTTATAAAATGAATAGAAATGTGTGGCGCGGGTAGCTAGCCGGACCGCGATAGGAGGCTTGGGATTAGCAGCGCGGTGATGGACGCGCTACAGGGCGATGCAATGTTCACTTATCTTCCTTGGAGGTCTGCCTCCTTTTGCAGTACGCTACCACTTCTTCTTCCATATCGTAACATACTCCTTTAAAAGTTCCTCCTCTTCTGGAGATATTTGAGAAACACGCGAAAGAACCGACCTGGTCAAAAAAGCAGGTAAGATTGCTGACGTGAGCGGCTGGAAATGAACAGAAACAGGCTGCAGTTGCTTTGGGGCCAACAATCGTGCGGTAGGCCCCGGCAAACTTCACAAATTGATCTGGAAAGGAAGGATTAATAGTGAAGAGAAACCAAATGTTGTTGGAACTCCGCGTAAAATACAGGCATTAAGAAAACTTCGAAAAACTGGCAGTCAATTCGACGATCTTATTAAAATCCTCGCAGTATCAGTATTTGCTGCATATCTCAAATCCTCACCATAGTAATCCGGAACCGCGCCCAATAGCCACGAAGAAGGCTCCAACAGTTTGGACAGACAGTAAATAAGGAAGTCCCTCAAACTGAGCCGTCCGAGAGTGAACATTGCGAACGAGACGGCTGGGTTGAAGTGACCTCCTGAAAAAATATTATTTCATGTTGTAGTGCTAAACTTGCCATGGCTTTTTGTTACACGTTGAACAGATTGGCTCCTCAAAGGTATCGAGAAATGTTTCTGTTCACAAGCGAAAGGGATCACTCATTGACAGGTCTGGATGAGACTGCTGTTTGAGTTTATGGGATGATAGCACAACACAGAATCATTGTGAAATCCAGTTTCCTACATTACAAAATCTTTTTCATTTCAAAGGCACATTTTGCAGTTTGATGGGTGTAGGTTATTGCATCAGGAATGGAAGCTCTTGCAATGATTGGCCCACCAGAGATGGAAGAAAGCGAAAGACTGCCTAAAACGCTCAAAATACATTGGGCAGAAGATACTGACGTTCTAATTCAGTGTTGTACTGTTACTATTGTTGTTACGTTATATTTTATTGGTCCGCCCTGAATCGACCAGCGATCTCGTTGATGTAGGTCCGGGGGCCGGCAGTGCCTTAGTCCGGTAGTCTCTCCATGTGGTTGATTCTCCACCCACTGAGCCCTGCTCCCAGGATATAGAGGCAAGCTGCGCAGTCACTTTATTCGATTCTGCTACTTTGGTTCGCCGAGCGCGCATGGCTCCGCTTTTTTTTGTCATCAAGCTGGCGGGGTGGTAGGCAGGGTCAACCGTCCGTTCGAACTGTTCGAACGAAGGGGTCGCAATTTCGAGGACTGCCAGCCACAGGCGCGTGCGTGGCGTATCCGAGGGCAAGACTTGCTTGTGCAGACCGCATTAGATTCGATTTATTATGCACAGAGAGACAGTTTTAGGCAAATTACGGTGTTTTCCTTGAGGAATAAAGAACAGTTGAATGCATCCCTATGAAAGGTTTGACTTCTCGGGGCTGAAATTAAAGTTCTTCGGGACCTAATTTTCTGAGGACGATTCTTCCAGACAACGGTAAAACACATAAGAAAGCAGAAATCTCGTAGTCTTCAAAAATGTCTTCGCCCCTCCCCAACAAGTTCTTTGAAGGAAGTTATTATTGCTGAAAGCTCAAAAACTCGCATGTGCTGCTCAAAAACCTATGGGAACAAAATGTTCGAACGTGTGATTTTCTCGGAAAATGGATTTTGAAAAACGGTTTGGTGCTTGTCAGAAAGAGCAAATCCTGCTTTCACCCCATGAAAAAAGTGCATCTCAGAAATGAAAATGAAGTGAGTTATGCCCGCTTAAAGCCCAAAAACTCGCGATTTCAAAAAAAGTGTTCGGCAAAACCCCCCAAAATGTTCGAACGTGTGATTTTCTCGAAAAATGAACTTTGAAAAACGGTTTGGGGCTTGTTAGAAAGAGCAAATCCTGTACTTTCACCCCATGAAAAAAGTGCATCACAGAAATGAAAATGAAGTGAGTTATGGTCGCTGAAAGCCCAAAAACTCGCTTTTGCACGAAAAATGTTCGAACGGGACAATTTTTTGAAAAAGGGGACAATCACTAAACTTTTATATACTGTTTTGTTAGAGAAATATTGAAGTTTCTGAAACTTTTACAGATTTCCAAAATGTCGCATACGAAAGATTTTATGGGCCTTCAAAGTTGAAGGTGCGCCTTCTTAGAATTTTGGGTTTTCCACTTCTAACAGAAGTACTTTCCGGAGAGTTAGGCAATCCTTGTAGTTTTCTGAAAGCGCACCTCAGGCACAATCAAAATCTACCTCAACAAGTCAAAAAAATACGTCCCAAGAAAGTTATTCCCCTCTAAAATTTTTTTCTTCGCCGCGTCCCGTTCTTCCAGCGCCCGGGTGATACCTGCCGCGCTCCAAGGCCGACGCGACGACGCGCAGACGCTTTCTGGCGCAACGGATTCATGTCTAGCACTCTTATTAACAAAAACAGGGGGTCGCAACTGGACCCCTCGAGAGCTAGGGGGTCGCAAAAATCCCGAAAATGTTCGAACGTGACGGTTGACCCTGGTTGGGGGGACCTCAACGCACACCGTAGTACACAACAAGCCCACAACAAAGCTCATCGAAGTCATGAATTTCCAAGCAGGGGCGTAACTTACGCTCCGCCCAGCTGGGATTTTAGTAAATTACTGTAGGAAGGAGCGCAAATCTAACGTCCCTTACCATCTCAGAGCTGAACTATTTCTAGTAAGAAAAACTTTTTTCTTCTTCATTAGGCTCTTTGTGCATGAATAAAATGGTTGTTGCAAAGCAAAACTCGGAAGGAAAAGGTTGTCTGAGGCAATCTTCTACTGTACAAGGTGCGGTCAAAATTATAGCGAAAGGACATCGCGCTCTATTTGAACCACATTTTCGAAAGCACTGTTTTTGTCCCTGCTTCTCTGTAACTTTTTTTAGTTGACGCCATATTTCTTCGGTATTTATCGCCTAAAAACATCTGTTGCTACAATGGTTGGGCCGTACTGTTACTCTCTGGCAAAGTGATCAGCTTTGCACCTCTAGGACGTTTACATGCACAAATCCAGCAGCTTCGTTGGTGTCATTCCAGCATGTCATCTCACAGAACCCTTAAACGCTACATTGAGCTTAGGAACTGAAAACGATCGATCCAGAGAGGGAAGGCGTGCTTCCAGGGACACGGGCAATTCAATTGTCGGCTAATGAGGTCACGCCGCTCACATGACGGGCAGCTTCGCGCGCGGCAGCTGATGCGGCGAATTCTGTGTTTGCCTTGGCTTAACGGCCCTTTTCCATAAGATGCGTGTGGGGTCAGAGAAGTGATGTTAGGAAGGTACTTCAGTGAGCTAAGCAGCAGCGTCACTTGATGAGTCTCCAAGTGATCTCTTCGACGGCGTGATGAGTTTTTATGTGGTTGCAGCACAAGGCTGTTGTGAGCACTCTCCCCATTCTGCTTCTGTTATAGTTTTTGCTGGAATAATGGCTGACGGCAAGAAACCGCTGTGGTTCGTTCCTCAAAGGATCAAAGTGAATAGCCAAAAGGTTATCTAGAGATTCTATTGAAGGACAAAGTGGGACTGAAGTGGGTCGTTCTCGCTCTAAGTGGCAAAGTGGCATAGCCTTACACGCTGCAGAGTCGGCGATCGGATTCTATGCGGTTGCTTTGGCCGATGGCAAATACAAGCCTTGGGGCTCCCGGTCGGGGATCGGCTAAACTGGCGATCGCATTAGCGGGTCTGCTGAGGAATAAAAACTCACCGACATATCGAAAGCATTAGGCTGCCCCTGCTACCTTGGGCTATTTCTTACTTCGGAAACCGCTCTTTGAGCTTTCAGCAGGACACGCACTCACAATGCGATGATGGTGCAACAGTGGTGCCAGAACCAATTTTCTCTACGTAATCAACTTCGGAATTATGCGCGTGGTCGGCGTGTGCGCTCTCCGAACAGAATCCCATAAGCACAGTGTTGTGGTCCTGTTTTGGCACAAAGAGGCTGTGCTCGAAGTACACTTTCCTGAGCGCGTCTCGAATGCTGGCCCAGTAACGTCGTGCCCGTCAGACCGGAGAGAGATTATATTCGTGAGCGTACACGATGTGTATCGGGTCCGTAGTTCTTAACGCAGTGAACCGGTAATGTTTGCCCAGTTACACATGTCTCCGAGTCAACACATGTGAAGCGACATTCCTCCAAGACGATTCGGCAAATCAATTTCCGGCGTATAATTTTGGGGCCAAGTCACCCACGTACGTCACTGAATATGTAGAGCTACGAAGCGTGCCGTCACCGCCGTAATGACAGCACGCACTGAGCTGTCACCGCGTCGGTGGCAAATGGCCACGCCAGGGCAAAAGTGTCATAAGTTCACGCTTCCACAAGCCCTTCACAGAGAATGACTTCAGGCAAACTCGTAGTAGCACCCGCGCATCAGTCTGCTCACTCTCTTTTGAGGTGCACTGCTGTCCCTGCAGCAGCAAAATCAACCCAAATAGGGCGCGCGGCTCCGACCGATTAACAATCAAGACATCACCGAGACCATTTCTTATACAGTTCGGACCTAGACGCACACATTACGTCTAAACCCACCAACGGACAAGCGGTGCGATGTTTCTAACAATCTTAATATACCCTATATATACTCTCAGCAATGTGGAATAACATATCTTCCCAGGACCTGGACGAGTGGATTTTTGACAAACCTACAATAAATTTTACATACACTTTGTCTTAATTTTCATAAGCTTACTATTTGATGGATGGCTTACACAGATGGTTCACTCGTCCCGAGACCCCTTCCCTTAAATTAGCAACAATCCTTGCTCAGAGCCGTTGTATGGTTCCGCATCCATGATTTCACTTGCAGCTTCCATTCATTCTTTGCACCCTAGTTTTAAAGCGGAAAAGGCGGGTTACGGAGTTGTCGTCAACGGAAATCTCTTCCTTTGGATGATGAGACAAGGCCACCTACTTTAGCCCCGTCTTAACCCTTTGTTCGATACCGCATACAAGGAAACTACCCTGTGTGGCGGCGTGCGCCACCAGGTGGCGCACGCAACAAATACACTAGCCGTCCGTTATGGGTTAACGTGTAAGTGTTGAGTACCATAGTGTTACAGTAACAAGAAAGTGAATAAGTCAAGGTGAAAAGGTCAAGGTGAAAAGGTGTCCTGTGGTGTAATCGGTAATACAACTTGGCTTTTCTCCTCTTCTATGTGTTAAAATATTCGCTTCTTCCAAACTAGTGGTACCCCAGGAAAACGAATGCAATGCCGGGCACTGATCCCAACAGAAGCACTTGTTCCTATTTCAGCAATTACAGAAATCCGATAAGTTGAAAAGAAAATTGTTTCCTGCCACTGAGAAATCAGAATGTGATATAGGAGCTGCTTATTACATGAATTACATACCAGAAGTTTTGCTGCACGCATAGACACAGAACGCAATCGCCAGACCCCAGCCAATGTTGATTTGTATCCAAGTGTTGAGTTTCTCGCCAGAAAGAATGAACTGCATGACGATGCTCAGACCGATGAACTGAAATTGTAGAATGTAAGCCATTCCACGGCGGGTCATGCGTTGTTGAATCTCGGGCTCGGGCTGATCCAGATCCAGTCCAGAATTCTACCTTGTACCTATGCTAGCTTACCTTACAACACGACTTCTTGCATCTGAATCTGCACCACTCAAAAGTAGATGGATGAATTAGCGCGCGGGGATGGGAGCACGCAAGGAGGTGAGCCGTCGCGTTGTCGACTTCGAAAATTCTTCCCCATAGATGGTCCCATTCTCAGAATAACAGCAACGCGTAAAAGAAACTGGAGAGTTGAGTTGCTGAGTTTGATGCTGAGTTTTGCCCTTCCCCTTTGCTGCTGAGTTTTGCGTTTGCGTCTCGCTTGTACCTTATGCTCTCTCGTTTCTGTGTCCATTTTCTAGTCTCAGCGCTCGGTGTCTGTTCATCTCTGTCCGAATTTCTGTCTCGTAGTCTTCCCCATTCGCCCGAAGGTCCTTATTTTCTGCCAACTTCACTTCCAAGCGCAGAACGTCGGTATAATGTGCATTTGAAGGGCCAAACGAATCATTCAATGATGCAAGCTGAAAGAGCTAACTCGCTAGCAGTTCCGCTGCAACTCTCTCTCCGGAGCGCGAATTGCGAACTGAGGGTATGAACCAGTGATCAAACTATTTCGGCAACATGGACAACTAAGAAAATTTACCAATAGCAGAGCGGTACCGAAGAACTCGGAGAGTGCG